TTGAACTCATCCTGGGTTGAGTCTGGCTGCTGTGCTCAGCTTCTTCCTGCTGCAGCCCATGGAAGTGAACTCACTGTGCCCTTCTGGCAAGAAGTTCAACTCCTGGATTAGCTGGGTGGGTCTAGCCCCAACCTCTCTGCAGGGAGTTCTGCTGCAGGGTTCCACACCAGGCTTGTCTGATTGAGGAGGTTTAGGTGAGTGTGCAGAAGGTCCCACACAGGCGCCGGGCCTGGGCTCTGGCTGGAGAGGACCAAACTTTCAACCTCCTGCCTTACCCTCCTAGATTACTGGAATTACAGGTATGTACCATCTGCTCAGGATTAAGGAAGCAAAACACAAACACACAGACACACAGACACACACACACACACACACATTCTTTGATAAAATGGCAGGATTCTGTTGATTCTATCTTTTAATTTAGACTATCTAGTTTGGCTATTATAATGTGTTCTTCAGTTCTGTTGATTTCTTCACAGTTGGACTATGGTCCAGTAGCCTTACTCTGGCAGAATAAGTTCAGGTGCTGACCCTCTGGCCATGGGGCCCCTCTGAGCTTCAGGACTTTAGCAGCAAAACAGAGCTGACCACATTGGCCCTGATGGTAAGTATAAGGCTGGTCGAAGTCACTGTGTAGAGACCCGCTGCACAGTAAGGAAGAAATGCAGCCTCCTCTCTGCAAATCCAAGTGGCTTGGAACTCCTGGGGTGGGGTGGGAGGGCCCTTACTAGCTGTGGGCTGAGCTCCAGAGCCCTTTTGTCCAGATGGGCAGGGGCTTCTTGTTGTGCACTCTTTTTGTGGATGTCCACACCAGAGAGAAGAATGTGGGCTCTGCCTGGCTCCCTCTCCTCAGGGGAGCATCCCTGGCCACCATTTTGATTTCACAGACAACTCTGCTGTGGGCTTTCATCTCAGGCCATGAGAAGAGTGTCTGACTGGACCTTTAGGTCCCTCATGAAGCCACTGAGAGTCACAGGAAGGGTTCTCACATTGGCACATCTCAGAGCATCAGGGAAGGCCCAGCACAGGTCCTGCTCTGGCACTGAACTTTGGACGGAAACGGCTTGCTCATGCAGGATTACCAGAGGGGCTCTCTGGGTGAACATTTCTGGCTTTTCTCTTATCATTGTACAAGAGTGATCAGAATAGGTGGTGAACATGTGTGTTTAATACATTGACTACAGTAAAAGACACACATGAATCCCCTCAAAATCCCTTAATTCCAAAACACTTGCCTATTTTTTTTTTTAAATGTTAAGATTTTATTTACAAAGTTTGTTTGTTGTACAGAAAGTAAAAATGCTGTTACAATCTCAATGTAACTGGTAGCCATAGACAGTTGACTCACCAATCACAGCTATCCACGCAACAGCAAGTCTTACACAAAAA